TGTTCTAAGCAAGAGATTGATGGATAATGGCCAATCATATCACCAATTGAAGTATCCGTCGATCGTATGGCAGACTAAAATTACGATCTGAACTGCGTTGTTAAATAGATACAAATATTCGATCAAATAAAAAATTAAAATATCTTTTTATTACAAAATTTTTTATTACAAAATTGCTATACGCTGCCTTTAATACATGCACTCGATAATCCACGTAAATCAACAGCAATGCGTTGATGTGGCTAATATGTATTCGATAATTAATTCGTCAATCCTGTTTTGTAACCCTTTGTTAGCGAAACTTTGCCAACAGGCCGCCGTGCGTTAAACCCTGATTCGATCAAATATGAAATATGACTGTGTTCTTTTTATAAATGTAACTCACGTTCATTGCATTGTATCATTGTATTATTTTCAGCACATACACGACATGTGTTGCCAGCCCGTCAGCTGTAATATCTATAATATTTAACGTAGATATATAGTTACCATAAATATATATTTAAATATATACATATATTTTATCAAGAACAAATCATTGTAATTATAAAAGGCTGGTAAATACAATCATTCTTGTGAACATTTTATACAAATGTTAACATTTTATTTAAGTAATTTTTTAGCGATCAAAAATATATAATTTAAATTAATAACAATGTGTGAAATTTATTCAGAAACATAAAAAAATATGAAAATTTCAACAATCTTTCTTTCTTTTATTTACATATCTGACAATTAATTTTAAGAGTATGTATTTCTATCTCTGACTTCTGATGACTTAAATTATTATAAAAATAAATCTAAAATTCTTTACGCAAAATAATGAAGAATCTTGCTTGTAATTATTCCCCTTCCATATGAATCATAACTGCAATATTTAATATTTAGTACGTGCCTGATTCGGTAATTAATAACTCAAAAATTCATTACATTTACTTCATGTTGTTAAATTTATTTAATAATTTAGTCCTTATACACACTAATTCTATTATAATCCAAGCTTCGCGATTATGCACTCTAAATATTGTTTTTCCAATTAATGTAAGAGTCGCACATAATAAAGAAAATTTAAATCATTTACATAAGCAGTTTTACAAATTTTGTTTTACAAATACATTCAAACTGTAATGGAAGTTTCATGTTATCACGCCGGTCGTGCGCGCAAAAGCAATCGAAACAAACAAACCGTCGCGTCGTGTATCAACCAAAATACAATCGGTGATAAAGTTTCTCAACGGAGGTATCAGAGAACGCCGAAATAGGCGCGTTTCAAATATTCGCTGAAATTGATTTTGAGTCAGAGGCCAAATAAAAGTTTTAATTACAACTGCATTCAGGAACATAGTCCGTTTCAAATAACCTCTAGATAGTTTTGAATATTAGAAATTTTTAGTTAAAATTTTATTTCTTTTTTTAATTAAAAAGTGATTAAAATTTCGGCAATTCTAAATTTTTAGGCTTTTCTAGTATATTGATGATTACAGATTTTAATTATTAAATATAAATTCTTCTGTACCTGATTTTTTCCAGATTTAGTATAAATATTCAGAATTTTTAATATCTATAATGTAAACAAAAGTTTAATTGATTTTATTTGGCGATATGTGTTAAAACGAAACACCGTAGGCAATGATAAAACGAGATTCGTCGACCTGAAAAAAAAAAAGATTTAGCGCGCACTGAATATAACAACGCCCTGAGTATAACGTACACTCGTAAATTTGTGCTACATCGTGGACGCAAGACAATATAAAGCCATACATAAAGCTCTTCCCTCGGTGGATATAGCGATATAAAGTTTAATACGGTCTCAAACTTTCGCGGGTTATGATCAGAAATGCTCAGTGCGCGAAGCGCGAGAGGCACATTCTCAGAAATGCATTGCAAATTCGAAACGCTTCTTTAAGCAGCCGCGGGTTTTACGTTCTGCGAAAGAGTTTATTCAGGGCATTTCGAAGGCACTCTTTACGCTCTGAGAATCCATTACGTGTCATAACTTCGGACGACGATGACAGTGCCCGAAATAAAATTATAACGGAATAATACTCGGCGCGACGCACTAATTAACGGAACTCATATAAGCCGAAGTTGCGGAAGCTGGGAGTACTTTGTTGCCGAGAAGATGGTGAGTCGCGTTAAGATTTGTGCTTACATTAGTGCGAACCGCTGAGTGGCTAAACGCCACCGAGTTGCAAACTCGGGAAGATATTTTCGAAAACTTTTGTCGACATGGGTTGTGAATTGTGAATTAGCCAGAGTGCCAGGGAATCTGAAGTTAGGGAGTTAATGTTAAATTATTACAGTAATAAGAGTTAAATTAATCTGAAATAAACTAATAAATGGCACGGATTGTTGCTACTCCAACATTTATTGATTTATTAAGTCTCTAATCATCTGACGGTATAAGTCAATAGCGAAAGAGTACGTTATCAACGAATGTAATGTTACCCACTGTTGTTAGTAAAACAGCATAACATTTCGTATTGCATAAAAAAATATATATTAGATTTTTTATAATAGAAATTATTACGTCGTTACTGTTATGTCATTTGTAGCATTTAAAAAATCATAAATTATTTTACCTAGTTTATTATACTCAATCAAAATAATATTAGCTGATGATAATCTTGGTAACTTTGTTATGTACAAAAGTATTACCAGAGAGAAGCCTGAGAAAAGCCCGGCCTTTTTCGTAAGACTATCGAAAGCCCCTGTAGGTACACTACTGGCAGTACATCCATTTTCGAAATTAGTACTACGTAACCACATTCATTTTCCGACACTGCCGATAAAACATTATTTTGGTGCGCGTCCGTGCTACATCTGCAAATGTATTTATACATAATATAAAATTGTATTTTATATAAATATATATGATATAAATGTAATATCTCATATAAATGTAACTTTATAATAATAAATGTGCAGAATATCTCATAAAAAGAATAGGTATGTAAATATCTCAATTCAAATTTTTTGTATTTTATAATCCTGTACCTATACTTTCTATATTTTTTACGCCAAATAAATTGAAAAATTATAAATTTTAATATTACATATTGTACATTATACGACGAGAAAAAGAAATAAATTAAAAAGCACATATATCCAAAGAAAAGAGGACCGCCAATAAAAGTTTGCGGGGGTAGTGGAGGGCCTCTATATTATTGTACAAATTGATTTGTTTTTATTGAAAAAAATTTTAATTAAATCTCGAAATATAACAACTAATTTAATATAATATATATAACAAAATAAGATAAATAAGATAAAGATTTTTTTCAAAGTAGTAATTTAAAAAAATATTAATCTGAATAACGAATAAAATGTTCATATATATTTTTTTAAGATTTAGTTAATTAGTTTTTGAGTTACAGACGTTTAAAATTTCGGAGAATCCGTACATACATAGAAGCCTTATAAAGTTTGGTCTAATACGCTGATGCTGTATGTTATTCTCTGTCTCCCTCTCCCTCTCTTTCTCTTTCATAATAGAAATTATTTTTAAGAACTATTCTTAAAAATAGAGCAAGGTTTAATATAAACCACAATCAAATAAATATTTAAGTGTGATTTTACAAAATTATATAAGCTTAATACAACATTTAATTATTAAAAAATATACGCAAAATAGATCACACAATTTGCAAAATTTTGTTGTAATTAATAATAAAAAGTGATAGACCAAACTTGAACAGATTAATAATACTTTTTAATGACGTAATTCTTTTATACATATATGCACCGTGTTCTTCTTCTATAAAAAATATGCATACACCGTTTTTTCAAAACTCACTGATAAGATAACACATTGCGCATCTGGCACACATAATCATTGTCAATAATGCTAGAGCAAATAACTTTAAATGACGTAGTTTTTAACTATATCAGTATAATGAAGATTAATCTGAAAACTGTTTTTGTATGTACATACCTACAGTAAGTTATTATCTATATATAAATTGGAGTGAATATTGTACTGACTGTTGTCGCATTTACTCTTGTGATATCTATATTAATGAAATTCATTCATTTTATTGTGCATTTACTGGAGACCACGTTTGTTACACTAAAAATGACGCATTCACTATTTATTGTATTAAAATTCTAACAGTTGCAAACACAAGCTTCGAGGTTGAATTGAAGGAGTACAGATGGAAATACCTCAATTATCTGTGGAAAGATTCGACGTACAAGCAGAATGCAATAAAATATAATTGGCAATTATAATCCTAGCCACAAACGTTTTATTCAATATGGCACCAAGATAGGTTAACACTATTCAAAGACATGACAATAATTTTATATAAAATATAAATATCAGTTTCGTTTTTGGTTAATTACATATATGTATCATTTAATTAAAGTTTCCATATGTCGTTTCCACATGTCAGCACAGACCCTGAAGAAGTAGAAAATAATCCATTTTCTCAATACATATAACAAAAGATTTTTTGTCACATGGGTGGTCTAAATAGAAGCACTTTTTACAAGGTAGATGCATACAAAGTAAACATTTTAGACCTTCTATTTTCATATATGTAGAAAATAAAATAATTTTTTTAAAAAAGACTTTTGCTTAAAAAACATACTTATAAGAGTATAACGTACAACGCGTTAGTTTATTTCAAAATCAATATATCATTAATAACTAAATATTTATACAAAATAACATTCTTATTTAAACACTGCTTATAGGCACCGTACACTTGTTTTAAAACAAAAGCACTGAAAATAAAAGAGAAATTACATAACAAATATCTACATATCTTCTTACCTCTACCCTACATACTACATAACACCTATTCTTAGAAGTCCCATTGATAGGATAACATTCCGCGCATCTGTAACGATAGTGCCTTTATCATTAACAAGAATCGAACGACTTTAAACGAGACCGCTATTGTTCATCGCTGATATAATGAAAGTTTTTCTGAAAAGTGTTTTCATATGTATGAGTTGGAAACTTCTCATAGATATCGGCTAAGTGCGAGCTATCATTAATAGATTCGTCCTCGCAAAATACGTGTCCATCGGTTCGAGTGAGAACTCTCCAACTCTCCAACTCTCGATGAGAGTTTAGTTACGTTATTTTATTGTGTGCAATAGCAGCTATCCGTTACGCTGAAAATGAAATATCCTCTATTTGTCGCATTAATTTTGACGATCATAACTGTAAGCTTTGGTGTTAATCTGGAAGATGTATACAGTTGGAAATATATTGATTATCGCTGGGCATATGAAGGTCAGAAAGAGGAAATGCTAAATTCTAGCCAATATAACCCAAATTCATGCGTCTTATACGATGTAGACAGGTCAGAAGGTAAGTAGACCCTATTTAAAAAATTAACTAATTAAATTTTAGTGTAATTTTATATTAACTTTTCGACACCCAAGAGGGACGAGCCGTTTGCTCTATAAATAATTTTTTAAATAATTCTGCTAAAATTTTTTTAGAATTTTTGTGGATTTTTTTAATTTTATTTTTAAGTTATAAGTCTCTTATTTGAGACAAATAAATGCATAATATACCTATACAATTTTCAAGAAGATATAACTTATTTACTCGAGGTGAGCCATTTGCTCCACTTTTAAACTTATGTCTAGGAAATCAGCATGAGAGTCGAAAAGTTAAAATATAAATATAATTAGATACATTAATTTTATGTAACACAATTTATTAGTATTTAATATCGTTATTGTCAATGTTCCATTAAACATATTTTGGTGTTAATAAAGAGATCAATATATATATAATATTTCCATTGCAACAGAATTATAATGTATTTGCCATAAAACATATTTCAACAGCGTGCAATTTTTCAACAAAATTTTTGTAGATGGTAGAATATTTGTTACTGCGGTAACTGAAGAGGGAGTACCAGCTAGTTTGATGACAGTGTCTACTGAAATAGGGCCAGGCGGTCCACTTTTGGAACCATATCCAAATTGGTCATGGTATAGTGTAAATGATGATTGTGATGGCATTATAAGTGTATACAGGATATCTGTAAGTATTTTTTTAGAGCGATATACAGCTATCGTAAAAAATTATGTAAATAATTAATATTATTATGTATTATGTATATACAATATTATTATGTATATATCTATTTTTGCATTAGATCAAATGCAATTATCTTTTCGTTCTGGATTGTGGAAAAATCGGGGAAGAAGCAGTTTGTCCTCCAAAACTATTGATCTTCGATTTAGGACTCAATTACCTTATTAAGCGTATTACTATCCCCGATGACATCGCTAGTAACGAAAATGGCACTGGATTGCTCGTAACACCACTTGCTTATGTTCGAGATTGCAATAACATAAACGATGCGACCGTTAGTATTTTTCTCAAACTTTACGCGTTTAGTCACAACAGTATAGGTACATGCACTTTGTTCTATTCTCATGAAAATATGTCACGCATCTCGTTATTTAAATTAATATGCAACTATTATATTAATTAAATAATAAATTAACATGCAACGTATATACATATACAGGTGTTTATGTCTGACATTGAAGGTTACGGTTTGGCGATATACAATGAGAATTTAGGCTTCTGCAGAATTGAATCTGATTTCATGAAACCGACTAATCCTAATTTCACCATAGAAGGTCAGAGTTTTTATTTGGAGGACGGTATTCTCGGCTTAGCAATTATCGATGAAGGCAAGTACTTATTTTTTTTTAACATAAAAAAAATTAGTATGAGCTTAAGGTAATTGTACCAATGCCTGGACACGTATGTCTGGACATTTTTATCATTTTAGTCCTTAAATAAGTTATAACGCAAATTGAAATCGAAGAATCAAAGATAAAAATATTTTTCTTGTATTACATTTTTATCTTTAATTTTAATTCGCGTTATACTTTAAAAACTAAAATAATAAAGGTCTTAAATGTCCCGGCATTGGTACATTTACCTTATATAAACTCATTGTGAAAACATCATACATGGCGTGTTAAAACTTTTAAGTTCTATCTATTCATAGTACTGATTCATTATACTGATACTTGAGTTGTACCATTTCCATTTGTGTTTCTTTTCTTATCTGTAGTTATACATATTTACGCCTAGTTAACAGTAAAAACAGTAAAAACAAAAAAGTAATGCCATACTATATTCGTCTTTACAATTGTTAATATCTCTATTGCAAATTTTGTAGACTTGTTCTATTCTCCCTTGGCGGGAAACCAAATATATAAGATGAACATGTGTAATAAACAAAAATGTTCAGAACTAAACAAAAGCGAAGCTGATAATCTAACTCAATTGGCGGGTATATTATCTGGACAAACAGCAGCGATAGCATCCGAGCAATGCGCAATATTTTTTAGTAATATCCCAGACACATCCATTTTATGCCAAGATGCTACTAAGGAATTTATTTCTGCCAATACGGTGAGATATCTAAACGCACTTTTCATCGTATATTATTTGATAACAAATTATTTTGAATATTTATACCCTACATTATCTTGTTTCTTTGAGAATTGTCAACACAATCTTAATTTTTATAAAATACAATATATTTTTCAAAAATTTTTAGGAGCTTATTGTGAACGATTCCACAAAATTGCAATTTGCAAGTGGGATGAAAGTTGTAAATCACGGAAAGACGCTGATGACTTTAACAAATAGATTTCAACGTGTCATTACTAATACATTAAATCTAAACGAGACAAACTTCCGCATTCTCACCATGGATATAGAGGAAATACGGAAGGAAACAAGTTGTTTTGCTTCTTGTAACAATGATCATGATAAACCTGGGCAACCTGGGCAGCCTGGACATCCTGAATATCCTAGGCAACCTTGGTATCCTGGATATCCTGAGAAACCTAGGTATCCTGAGCATCCTAAATATCCTGGGCAACCTCCGTATCCTGGGCAACCTCGGTATCCTGAGCCTCCTAAATATCCTGGGCATCCTGGGTATCCTGAGCATCCTGGGTATCCTAGGTATCCTGGGTATCCTGAGCATCCTGGGTATCCTAGATATCCTGGGTATCCTGAGCATCCTGGGCATCGGCATGATAGACCTTGGTATTATGATAAACCTTGGTATTATGATAAATATGATGAAGATAACAAATACCATTTGTAACAGCACGTAGAAACGTGATGTTAGTCCTAAGTTGATAGCGAATATTTCATAAGTGCAATATTTCTGCTGTACTTAATGGAATCGGGTAAGCCGCACGAGCGGACTTTGCTGTTTACATAGATGCACGACATCGAGGCACGCTGCCGTCGTTGACATAAATCCAGATTCGTATGTTGCCACGCTGTAAATCCTTCAAGTGTGTATGCACTCTGCGCAGATCATGTAACGTGACTGCCATTCATTAAATTATATACTTGAAAACGTTAGTCTTCATAATTTCCAGTAAATAATATTTGTATACTATTTTTAATGTGTCTATTAAACATTTTATACAGTTTTCATCATTTATTTTATTAAATTATATTTATAAATCAATATGTAATATTTTATATCTACAAAAAAAGCATGAATATTGCTGAATAAGAGATAGATAAGCCTATTATATTGAATTAAATTTAATAATGTCTAGATCTAAATATTTTAATAACAGACACGTATGTGTAATTATTTTGCATATCTTTTAATAATACGTTTTTAAAGAAGCTATTTGTACATAAGTACGATGAAATGTTTTTACCAAGAATTAAGTTTCTCCTTAATTAAAAGATAAAATATTCATTTGATGATATCCTGTTGATGATATCCTATAATGTTGTTTTCGTGGCGTTTGTAATCAATGCGATTAATTTTCACCTGAATAAATAACTCCGGAATTATTTCCTTAGATAGAATAACTTATTAGTCAACTGTTTAACGTTAAATATCCTCGTTACCATCGCTTTTTTGATAAACGGGCTATCGATTTACACCATTTTAACTACTCCGGTTTCCAACTTTGTTAAAAGTATTCTGTTCGTCAGAAAGCTCGTGTGTCATCTTGATCTTTACAAACGATTTGAATTGCTCGGATAATGAAACTATTACGTCCGAAATTTTATCAAGTACTTCGTTTCTTACAAATATGTAATAGCGTGACATGTACGTGGCCGCATGATCCTAATGTCGGCAAACTTGTATTAGTTTTCCGAAACATCTACTACAGTTTTTCCATTTTGAACACGATTGTGATACAGATGACATTAATGTACGCTATTTATGAACATTGGCACGATGTAACGACAATAATGAAGACTTTAACGGAATTTGCCTGTGTAATAGATCTGTTAGCCAAGCTCTTCATATGCAAATACAAAAGCGCACGCATACAGGTATAGTATACGATTTTCGTGCATTAAATAGTATTCTCGTAAATATATAATCAAAATAATAATAATAATAATTGAAGTAACAAGGAATTATCCATTTATTTTAATAATTATTTACTTAATAGAAGTATATTATTATGAAGATCAGTGATGTATCTTATTTATTACTCGATACGTGTAAGGTAAATGTATCAATGCCGGGACACTTAATGTCCTATGTCTGAACACCTTTATTATTGTAGTTTTGAAATAAGTATAACGTGAATTAAAATCAAAGATAAATAAGTATAATGCAAAGAAAATATTTTTATATTTGATTCTTTGATTTTAATTCGCGTTATTTAAGGACTATAAAACGATAAAAATGTCCAAACATAGGTACGTGTCCAAGTACATACATTTACCTTAACATATTTGAACACAGTTACAATTTTTTCCGACAGACGCTTAAGGCGATGCTGGAGTCATCTGTTTTACCGACAAAATGTCATTTTCGCGTACGTGTTTTTTATTAGTTCTATAGAATTATAAATCCTTTTCCAGAATTAAAGTATATACCCAAACGGAGAAGGGACAAGTCAACTTATTACGTTGAGAAAGAACCAAATTATATACTTCTATAATTCTTTTTCTTTCTCAATGTAAAGTTGACTCGTCCCTTCTCCGTTTGCGTGTATACTTTAATCCTGGAAAAGGATTTATAATTTTATAAAACCAATAAAGAATGACATGTACGCAAAAATTATTAGGTTCTGTTGGTAATTCTAGCATTGTCTTAATTATATTTCGAAAATATTATTTGATGTAATTGTATGACTTTCTTCGTAACGTTAAATATATCTCTCAGCTTATTACTAAAAATATTAATTAAATTTATAGCACACCCTAACGGAGATGAAGAATTTTCTTCTTGTTTCCAACGACCATGAAAAAATCATCCTGCAAAAATACATAGATCGTTATGCTGTCTTTTCCATATTTGTTATAATATGCTATTTCTTAACAATAATAACCTTTTGTTGCATCCCGGTGTTTGCTTCGAAGATATTTCCTTCCGAAGGATTGTATCCATTTCCCATTGAATCGCCACTTATGATGTTTATCATCTATGCCACGCAAGTCCACACTGTTGTGCAATGTGGACTTTGCGTCGGGATAGATTTCACGTTTGCCGTATTCTTCTTGTATGCAGCTGCCAGATTAGAGATGTTATGTTTCGAAATACAAGCTGCAAAGAATGAAAGACACTTAAACTCGTGTATCAAGAAACATCAGGAAATAATCAAGTAAGATAGTCAGAAATTTATAAGTCTGAGAAATATTGAATTTTTGAATGTTTTTGGACATCTTTTTAATATTAAACATAATAAATTCATTATATAATAAAATAATATGATAATAATTGCAAATAATAAAATTATTATTTTATGTAAAAACTATAGGTTTGTTGATGAAACGAAAAATATTGTACAATGTTGTCTTTTTATAACAAACATTGTAATGGCAGTAGCTGCTGTTTGCGGTACTTTCCCAATTATTTATGTATGTTATATTCTACTAGTTACCATTTTTGTTCATCAATAATATTCATTTAATTCAAATTCATCTAATCTAACGATTCTATTATGTAATATAGAGACAATCGTTGGGGACGTCTCAATTTATTTTTGTTGTAATGTCTGGATGTCTGAGAATATACATTACTGCTTGGCCAGCTGACGATTTAATGGAAAATGTAATTAATGATATAAACAGTCTTAATTTCCATATATCTTACCAAATCCGTATTAAATTATAGATAAACATAAATATCGCGTATTTTATAAAAAAAAACACAAGAGATGGTGTGTTAGTACATACATTTTAGCAAATTAATTAATACATTATTTAAGAAATGAAATTAAAATACTGCCACGATTTCAGAGTGAACGAGTGTCAATGACAGTATATGATATGACGTGGGTTGGAAGATCACAATGCATTATTAAAAACATATGCTTCATAATGCAAAGAAGTCAAAAACCACTTGTAATCAATATAGGACACTTGCTAGGAATCTTATCTCTTAAATATTACGCTAAGGTATATTTTGCTTAAATATTATGCTAGTATATTTTGCCATGAAACATTATATATAAGCAATAAAATTTGTATAATAAAATGTAATATATTTTATAATAGCTTTAAGCTATTATACAAAGTGAAGTAATATAACAAAAACTAGATTTTACATTTTTACAGTATCTCGTGACACTTTTATCGTATTTCACAACAATGAGAGCAATAATCGGCGATTTGAATCATTGAAGTAAGAAAGTATGGATTATCTTGTGCACTTACTTAACTATTAGATACAATGATATACGAATTATATAAATGCACACTTTGCGATGAAAAAGAATCGAGCGACTGCTGCAAAAATTCTTCATCGAGCATGTCATTACTTGTTATGTGTGTATATTACAAGCTTTTCTGAATGTGAAAAAAAATGGTAAATAAATTAAAACTTTTTAAAATTTTGTAGTTGCAGTAACATTATTCGTAAAAAATTATTATAATTATCATCAATCTTTTTCTGTTATTTAATCTTGCAGTTTAGAAATTTTTCTACGATATTATTTTAATTTATTTTTAATTTTAGTTACCTCATTCGTGTGACATATCTCCACACACAGCTTTCAAAATCACAAATAATATCACAAATAAAATAAAAAATAATATCAGAAATAATAAATACATATATTATAAATTACGAAGTCCCGTTACTCATGCATGACCTTTTAAAATTAAGATATGTGTTTTGATGTTCACTTAGCTTGATTCTATTGTTCATTGACATAATTCAAACTTCTATGTATATATGATTACAGCCAGCACAAATATTTTTAAAAAAATTTTAAATTTATTACCGCTTAAAAGAGATTTATAATTTATAAATACATATAATTTAAACGATACATAATATTAAGAACACTGCATTTATGTGTAATGAGAAAAATATTCAGTTTAGAAAAAAATACCATGTCTGACAACTAGTAATTTAACTTGAGAAAATTTAGATTCTTAGCTAAGAGTAGAATAAATTACCTTGGAGAGAAATTTGTATCGTATAAGTTTAGAGAATAGACTGTGCGCGAATAAAAGAGAATTTCTTTTTTACTTTTCACTTAGGTATTTCTACGATCTTTATTTTTCACTTATACCTTAGTTCGAGTTAGAAGATTCATCAATGTTTTAATAGTGCCGGAAACAGCTGTTATGTAATACCACATTTCCCATTTCAGAGGCATATCCAATAAATTATTAATGTTTTCTGCCACTTAGTGTTAGTCGGCAGAAGAATACCTAATATCGCACAGCTATTTCGTATTTCTCCGACATTTTACATCTCAGTAAAACCGCAAGAAATTATACAGCAACTTAATTTGCTCTAATGCATGCGTACTTTTTTTACACTAAAGGTAACCGATGCAAAATGTACCATCTTTCCGCGCTTCTACCTAGCGCATATTTTATAAGAGAATATTATTGAGATAGCGTGTATTTTGTGTGAAAGAAAAATTTTCAAGACGGTACATGGCTCTTTAAGATAGACTCTACAGTATTCCAATTCCGATATTTTACTGCAAGTTTCTTGAATTGTATCGATTGCTCGACAACACGAGAAATGATTCCGAATAAGAAATAGTATTTGCAATATACTTTTACTCTTGTATGTAATTCAACGGAGTCATGCAAGAGAAAGTAACGCTGAAAAAAACGATTGCCGTCGTAAAGTTGAGTTTGTTTGTTATATGGTTTTGGCCGCTATCATTAAACACCAGTAAACGCAAAGTGCTGTGCATGAAGCTGTATCAGTATGTCTGTATATTACTGACTATAGCCGTATTAGCGTCAATGATATATGCTCTTGTGCAGAATCTCGACGATCTCGATCTCCTCATAAAGTCATCATTAGGCTTGTTTCCTTGTAGCCATGTTATTGGCAACATTCTGTGTCACTTAGCTATTTATCAACGATTACAAGTAATTATTACAGATGCTGCTTCTGAGAAATAAAACAGGTGTTCTTCTCATGCATCATCAGTTTGATATAATATTCTATTTTCAATTGTAGTGCGTTACTCTCGAAATGGAGAATTTTTGCGCGCTAATAAAGCCGTACGAGGAAACGATCGTTCAGCGGGAGTATATTGATAAATATTCCACCTTCTATGGTTTCTGTATAAGTTTATTCTACATGAGTCTCTTCGGCCTCTTCGTGGGGCCTATCGTGCTAGACGAGCCGCTTCCAGCACCCGCTGATTTTCCATTTGACGCGTCCCATCAACCGCTAAGGGCTATTACGTACATGCACCAAATCGTGGTTGGTCTGTTCATAGCCGCGCATTTGTGTGTAAACGCTTTCATGGCGCTTTTGCTCTGGCTGGCGTCAGCGAGATTTAAATTGTTGACCGAGGAGTTACGTACAATCACGAATATCTATGATCTCGCGAAATGCATCGAAAAGCATCAACAATTACTTGAGTATGACATTTCAGTTATATTGCATGTATTTATAACTATTTAAAATAGATATTACTTTATGTATCGTACCCCGAGAAGAATACTGTCACAACTCAAAAAATTTCGATTTTGAGTTAAGCTCGTAAAAAGTATAATGCCTAAAATGTTATGTGCTACAACAGTGTCACAAGTTTATATGCGAAATTCGCGCTGCACGGGCTGAAGTATCGTTATTTTTTTAAACCGGTAATATTGCGATTTCTTGAATGAATAGTGCCATAAGCAATTTGACAAGTGAATCACAACAAACTTCTTCAAAACAGTATATAAGTTTCATTATAACAAAATATCATAATTGTAATTGCGTTAGTTATCTCACAATCCCCATGAAATTGAATTAAATTTGTTTTTTCTCTCTCCTATAAATCGTGTATTTTTGAGTTGTGACAGTATTCTTCTTGGGGTGCGATATGAGACAAAATATTTTAAACGTGATCTTAGGTATGCAGGAGAAGTAGCCCTTACAGTTCGTCCTTTTGCATTGGTAACTGTATTTTTCAGTACTGTATCATTAATAGTATTTGGCCTTATTTTTATTACAGTAAGTATAATTTCATGCAGTTATTTTGGCATGCTGTGACTATGTAATAACTAAGAATGTTATTACATCACATACAGTATTATTATTAAACTTATTATAATCTGTAAATTTGGAAATACATTTTGCACATATCATCCTTTATGTATTTTTTTTAAATGATAAATATGAGACTCAAAATGTAATAATATTACCATAAAAATGAATTTATTCATATATGTATAAATATACGATAAAGCTATCCATCTAATACGTACGTTTATTTTATATTGTATAATATAAATGTACATTTGACAAGCTGGCTTTTTAGATTAGATAATTCGTATTATCAAAATTGTTCCTAGTAATAACGTTCCGCATCATATTTGTTTAATTAGGGGGTATCGTTCTCTTTGAAGATCCAATGTGTCTTTTTAGCAACCAGTGCATTATTAGAAGTATTTATGTATGCGTGGCCAGCGGAACATTTGATTCATATAGTAAGTTAATTATTTATAGGAAATAACGTTATCATATTTGCACGTAATTTATACTTTATTATTTATGCGGATGTATTGTTTAGAGTACCAATATAGCACAAGCAGTTTTTGAAATGGATTGGTATGAAGAATCAGAATATTTTCGGAAGAACTTACAGATGGTTATACTGAGAAGCCAGAAGCCAATACTTGTTGTATTGCCATGCGGTTTGCCCTCGTTGTCTTTACGTTATTACGCATCGGTGAGATAGTGATTTTGACTATTATTAAAATTCCTCAGTAATGCACATTAGTCATCCG